AGCTGGTGATTGCTTTTCCTTTTTTCATTTCAATAATCTAATCTGAATTCAGTTTTATATTCTTTCTCGAACCTCTAATCTTGGTAATCCAATCATTGATGAATTCCCTTCCTTCTAAATGGTCATTTTGGACACTACTGGGTTTGAGACCACCATTATGGTTATTAAACTGGAGAAAACTCTATCTTTTATATCAATAAATTAATCCAGCTCAAATGATAGAAGACAAGAGGACTGAAACAGGTTCCTGGTGTTTGTGTTTGAATGGTCCATATTTATGTCCAAACGTGCAATTGGGGAATATCTTCTGAGTTTATGAGTTTTTAATGGGGCCTATTTAATGCGAGTCTTGAATAGTTTAATGATAATTTTTTTATTTGTATAATCGAGACAAAGATCCCATTTAATTTTACTCCATAAGCTTTGGACCGTCCAAATATTATATAATAGGGTAATGCATGATGTTTGTTTCTTTTTATTTTTCTTAATGCCTGCCCTTCACAAATATTGCTTTTAATTTGGTGATTGTGATGATGATGATTTAAGCTTTAGTGGGTGATGATCATTTTACTTGCCCTTCTTGGTCTACAAAACAAATCATATTTTTCCATTTACAGATAGCTTGAGAAGCATCCAACCTCTGGTCCAACATGGCCGGTGGGATAACATTACAACTTTCTGGCTTCCTTTTTCAGTTCATCTTCTCTTTTCTTTTTGACTTTTTTTAGTCACTTTTGCTTTTCTTCTTTTTTGTTTTATTTGATTCTCGTTAACAAAGTTAGAATTGTCAACATCTGACATCATTAATAATAAATTAAGTTTCCTGCTCCAATAATTAAGTAAAAGAAGTGGCTGGTCTTTATATAAATAGTTAGCCCTTTTGTTGATAAAACTGTTCTTGTTTTCTAATTGTCTTTTCTAAAACATGTTACGCATTTTTGGTTCAAGGCAAGTTGTCCTGCTACTTATGACTTTGCTTCCTTGAGTTTAATATCAAATATGTCTTCTTTAGTGCAAACAGTCTCCATTCATTGAACTCTGACGATTTCTGCTCTGGATGGTGTTTTTTTTGGGGGTGATATGTAGGTATTGAATGAATTCACCCATGGATCAAGAGAAAAGGTAAGCAAGACTGAATTTAAAGAAGTTCTCTCTGATATTCTGCTAGGCATGGCTGCGGGGTTGAAGCGAGATCCCATCGTCATACTTCGGATCGATGGCGAAGATCTTCTTGAATTCATTAATGGCCCTGCCTACGAGCCTGAGATGGTTGCCATTTTCTCACAAATCGAGCTACCTGACAGTTCGCTTCACGATTACATTGTTAAAGCTTTTGAAAATCTTACTGTGGAACTAGGGATGCCTCCTCCTGCAGACCCCTGGGTAAGGACTTGAATTTGAAAAGAACTAATAAAACTGAGTTCTTTTGTTCTTAGCTGAACTGTGACTGGAGAGCATGAAAAGGCATAAATCCCCACTCAGTTTGGCTAGTTTACTCTACTGATAGTAGTTTTATGACTGAAATTTGTTCTTAGGTTATGAGCGATATAGTCGAACCAGCTATAGAGTCCTGTGCTGCGGGTGAGAATTGGGACGTACCCGTCTCGCAAGAGATATTCTTGTTGGAATTCAAGAGAGCTGCAGATCATGTGGCTCAACGCCTAAAAGAGCAGCCTGTTATTGTTGCTCACAGTGAGAATACCTTTGATGGAAGTAGCATAAGAAGACTGTTATCCAAAAAATTTGAACTGGACAAGGTAGTATTGTATTCGAGTACTTTTTTCCAACAGTCCTTGCTTGAATAAGATTGCAGTACTTCACCCATCATAATTTGATCCGTTATGCAGTCACTTAACGCCGCGCTTCAGAGTGTCCCAAAAGATAAAACTGGGAAATTGCCAAAGGAACATCTGCAGTTGGCGCTGGATATGATTGCTCCATTAGCGGGTTTACCTCCGCTCGGCGCCCTCGATCAGGTTACAAAACAGTCAATCTAACATGAACATCATGCCTAATTAGCGTCTCACCAAAACTGATGTTTGGTCTGGTACAATCTAATCTTAATCTGCAGATGGACAAGCTGATGTCTGATGTATTCAAGATGGTGGATGCGGACGACGGGAAGGCGGTTAAAGAAGACGAATTCAAGAAACTACTGACAGAGATTCTGGGGGCAGCTATGTTGCAGTTGGAAGGCAATCCAATCTCAGTTTCTTCAAATTCTGTTGTGCACGAGCCTCTAGCCTGTTCTTCAACACTTTTGACACCATCCTCGCAGTAAATCATATAAAGGCAGTAGCAGAGCTATTCTAAGGTAAAGAAACCACATAGAACTGCCATAAGTTATATATAAATTGGGGACTGGAGCTTTTCAAAGTGCATAGAGAGAAAAAGGGAATGAAGCCAAGCCATGGCTTGTCTGTCATATTAGCTTAGAGTTGGTTCCTTCTTACAGGGTGAAAAATGATGCTCTCTTCAATGAATGTAACGTATGTATCAGATTTGTTGTATTATGTTATGAAAGATACTTTATATATATGAGAGCTATTCAGATTCTCTTTATACATTGATCTCCAAATTTCCTGCTTGAAAGCTAAAACAAAACGGGGGTTTGATCCATTTAAACATAGTTTAGTGGATAAGATACCCTCTTTCTCAAGCTCCTTGTCGGATTCAGCTAACTCTCGGCAATGTAGCTCCTGGAGGGAGGACGGTGAGGAAGAGGAAGGAGAAGGATGAAGGCGATTAGGGCCAATTGTTTAGGGTTGTGGTCCCGAGATTTTAAGGAGGCGATAATGAAGGCGATTATGGTGACGATAGAAGGGATGTAAACTTAAATTACAAATTACATTCTATTGCTTGGGCTTAATTTTAATTTAGTCCCGGGGAAATTTATTCTTTTAGTTAAACTTCATAAATCATCTCTATATTCATAAATCATCTCTATATCCTTTCTAACTAGATTGATGTTACTAGATCATTATCTGATCAACTTCAATCTTTTTATGTTCGCGAAGATCTCAGCCACTCGAATTTTCGATATTCCTTTTTATTTTTCATCAAACGAATGGTCCTAATTTCATCACATGTCAATTAAGCTTTTCTTCGCGGAGATCTCAAAGAGGTTGTCAATTCTAATACAAATGTTTATAGAAAAATTAGGTTGTTGCTAGGATTTTGCTCCTCATCCTTTTGCTTTTTTTGTTTTGGGTAAACTTTAGCATAGTTAGTTGATATAGCCAAATAAAAAGAATTTGTCTTAAGAATAAAGAAAATTGGGAGGTATATAGAATAAATGGAAGCTTTTAAAATTTTAGGAACCAATTTAAAATTAAGTCAAAGTCATGGGGATTGAAGTGAAAAGATGTTAAAACTACGACGTACCTAAATTATAGGACCAAATTATCGTAAATTTACATTGAAAATAGGCTAAAAATGTCAAAGTCTTTCTAAATTTTATTTTATTAGTTTCAAAATTTTAATTTTAGTTCTCAGAAAATATTAATTTTGATTTTTATCCATAGTATTAAATATCTATCGACATGTCAATTGATATGTTTATATGTTCATAGATTCGACATCAAGAGAGGTAAAATAAAAAATTCCCATAATATTTTTTTAAAAAAATCGACAAAATATGAAAAATATCAACAAAATTTTACTAATATAAACGTAATATTAATATTAATTATTTTTAACTTATTTTAAAATGGTAAAAAATTATTTGTAATTTGAATATTTTTTTATTTTTATAAATTTTTCAGAAATATCCATCAATATTGACATTTTATCGATATTTTCATTGACATTTCCATGGACATCGATATCTAAAACATTGTCTTTATCATTATTTTTAATAACACAACTTAGAGCATGTGCGTGACAACGTGGAAGTGGGTTGGTTGAAGTAAATCATTACTTTATTTATTCAGTAATAAAATAAAATAAAATAACTCTTATTTATTGGTTTACTTATTTTATATATTTAATAAATATGGGAATGTTATTATATTAATACTTTTTTAACTTAAGCCTTTATCCCTAAACATTTCAATCATTATTTTGGTATTCAAGACTTTCACAAAAATTTGTTTTAATCTTTATAATTAAGTTTTCATATTTTAGTTAATTGCAACCTTAGGTTTAGGGATGGCGAAGGGGGCCGTGATCCCCATCTCGTTGGGGATTTTTTCCTCATCTTCGTTCCTTCATCGAAATTTTTGGTATACAAGATTTTGAGACATGACAAATTTCAAATGAATTCCATTGTTTGCCACAACATGATTTTGACCTAGATTTCAAATCTAGTTTTTATGTTAAAAAAAAAAATCAAAATGGTCGGATTTTGGAGGATTTCCTAAAATTTCAAAATAAATTACAAATTTAACATTGTCATATTTTAATGTCTAAATAATAAATTTAGATTAAAAGTTCAAATCACTAAAATTTTTATTTTATTTTCATTTTCAGAAAACGTCCAAAGAAATTTAATTTATTTCATTTCAAATCATTTTTGTTCCAAGCAAGATAAGGAATCTAAAGTAATTTCTTGGATTTCAAATCACGGAATTTAAAATCATTTCTTAAATTTTCTTAACGTCAAAGAGAGGGCAAATGTTCAAGTTGGCAAGTCTCTTACCCTATTAGCACGATAGATTTTATGCTTATCTCTTATTATAATGTAGTGCAATGAACTTAGGAACAACAGATTTTGAGCCCCTTTCTTTTTATTAGTAAGATAGGATGGGGCTTTTTCGGGGACTAGCCCGCTTCCCATTGTCCGGTGATCGTTTTAGATCGTATCCGAGCAGCTCACTCCCAACCTTCATTCAGTCGTCAGGCTGCAACTGAACTACAGTGGCTTCAATTCGAGTCCGAGTCCCGAGCTGGCTGCATCGGGGAGGGGTAGAAGCAATGGATCGAGTGTATAGATTAAATTTCTTCTCGTCCTGGAATCATCTTGGTTAACTTCTAAAGTCTTGGCACCTATAAAGGGAGCATTGAACAAGGTACAATACAACGAATTGTGCACATTTTTTTTTCTTCTTTTAGTAACCTAGAGCGTGAAATTTGAATCTTTAATCTTTAAAGCCAATAAATAACGTCTCGACCAAATAACTACGAGCTGAGTATAAAGAGGAACCGAGTCAACATCGCCTAAGCTCACTTCCAAACGCTAGAAGGAATTATTCATTTCCATCCAAACAAGAAACACCTAGCAATGATCAACCAAAACAACACTATCTTCTGCATTCCCCCCAATTACTTATCTTCATTCAAATCCCTTATCATACATTTCCTCCCAAAACTAGTTTTTGCAAACTTCCAATGTCAAACATTCCTTTTTGTTTATTCAAAATTACCCAATCCCAACCGGCATCCGCAGCTGAGAAACGACAACCATCACCTTTCAAACATCTTCCGTCGCCTGCTGCAATGGAGCCCCGATCACGACACTTGGCCTCTCAAAGGTTACATCAATCGATGTTTTCTAGGAATCTTGTTTGACTATAAGCTGGATAAAATGGGAATGGAGCTTTCTAGACTCTGAAACCCTTTGTGGGTAGGTTTATTCTTCTTCAAACAAACAAAATGTCAATTGGGTCGGGGTTTGATTTGTCTGTAATTGCTTAGTTCATTTGCTGGTGGAAGGGAAATGGAAGCAAGCCCTTCTCATTCTTTTGTTTCATTGTTTTTGGTAGCTATGTGCTTTTGTTTGGCAGGCATCTTTTCTTGCCTTCTTTAGATTCAATTTTCTCGTGAAAATATGCCATTTTCTTTTTGCTGTTTGATTGATAACTTAAGTCTTGACATATTTATTGCAGATTGTTATGATCCCTTGGATCCAAATGGAAACATTACGATTACTTATGATATTCAAACTTGGACAACTCGTGGATATGTGGTGAGTTTAATCATAATGCTTGTGCTATTTTGGTAGGCTCCTGTTTCCGAAACTTTCAATTGAAGCAATTACCTGTCGAGTTTATGCAATCGTACTCGATGGTTATAACTTGATAAATGTGTAAACTACTCTAACTGTAAACATTAGACCACAACCTTTAGGAGCGCTATGAACTGTTGCTATCTTTTGTTTAAGTTGAAGGTTCTCAAGTTGCAACTGTAAAACTTCATTATTGGGTAGTTTCTTTTGCATATATTCAATGGTTTTAAGCATTTGGGTTTGTTTGGAAGATGGGAAAGTTATGAACTTTCTGGCGGATTTGTGATTTCCAGGCGAGGGTCACTGTCCAAAACTACTATCAGTTCCGGCATGTGGAGAAGCCTGGTTGGAAGCTGGGGTGGACATGGGTGAGGGGTGAGGTAATCTGGTCGATGAGCGGTGCTTTTGCAACCGAGCAGGGGAATTGCTCGTTGTTCAAGTATGACACCCCACACTCCTGCGTGGAGAGCCCTATGATTCTTGAACTCATGTCAAAGGCATCACCAGCAAACAGGTCGGACGGTTGCTGCAACGGTGGTGTTCTTTCTTCTTGGGCTGTTGACCCTTCGAAGTCATTCTCTTCGTTCGAAATCACAGTGGGGAGCTCGGATGAAGATGGCAATGAGCAGCACCCGGCCAATATTACTCTGATGGCGCCTGGTCCTGGTTACACTTGCAGCCCATTTCTGGATGCTAATCCAACAGTTTCTTCTGTCATTGATGGCAAGAGACAAGTTCAGGTTTTCAGTAAGTTAATAAGATGGCAATTGCAATGCTAGATAAAACAATGCTATTTCTATTAGCTCAGGAAAACAGCCCAAATAGTGGCACTCTCTGCTGATTCTAGCCTCTGTGGTGAGTAGAAACATGCTCGGTTTTTGAAACCCATCTCTCATAGGCTACACATTTAGCTTTGCATATCTCAAATTTAGAGTTTTTTTGCTATACATTAGGCTATGTATCTGTTGCCCAGAGTTGAGAAGTTTAGTTTTGCGGGTCATGTAGTTGCTGGTTACCTGCATATCAAATATCGGTCGAACTTCTTAACTTTAGGTTATATGATCCTAAACCCATGAACTAAACGCTCCCTAAAAGTACTGGTTGAAATTCCTTCCTCATTTTAGGAAACTTCACCCAAAATCCAAGGGCAGAAGCTTGACTGGTGTTATTTTGCAGGAACATGGAAATCAACATGCACTTACTCCATGTTTGTGGATAACAAGACGCCACTCTGCTGTGTTTCACTCTCAACATTTTACAGTTCCACCATCACACCTTGCCCAGCATGCAGCTGTGGATGCAGAAAATCAGACAAAAGCTCTGTTCAGTGCATAAGGTATTTGCTAGCTTCAATTTTTACTGCCATCAGTCAATGGGATTTTGTACTTAACTTATGACTTCCATTACTATGTAGCATACTTTCCTGTTACCATGGTAATTAAACTGACCCAAAAGAGCCCGTGGTTCGACTTTTAAAGAGAATCTTTAGGAAGCCATGGTTGCAGTGGGCGCAAGGACGAAGTCAGGACAGTATAGTACATTGTTATGTTTTTTTTATAACCGGGAGTCGGAGCTTTGCTCCCCTATATCCAAGGGCGCCCGCTCGAAGGCCTGGACCTGGGAGACATCAAAGGTTTTTTGCATTAAGCTCATTGGAAGGTTGAGACCTCTAAGTCATGATGACTAAGAGACCCTAAGTCTTTGCCAACCAGGCTACCCCTTGCCTAGTATATTGTTATTATATTTTGGTTTTTCAATATGTGTGTTCTTTTCTCTTTTTCTTGATTTCTTGAGTGTCCGAACCAATTTATTTGCACCTTGACTAATCTCACTTGGCAACTCTAGGGTCCTATAGCATATAGCTACCAAAAATTACTAGGAGTTTGTACTAGGTAAGTGGCCACCATAAGATTTGAACTCTTGCCTCATGTCATCAGGTCAACCCACAATAGTCTTCCGCTCTTCTCTCCTTTTGACTCTATGTTTTTCTTACTAATACACTCCTCCCTAACACCAGAGAAGAATATCAGTTACCGACAGCAGATTCTGCCGATAATCGTGCCTTGGTACAGTGCTCGGATCACATGTGCCCGGTTCGGGTGCATTGGCATTTGAAGGCAAACTATGTCAACCATTGGAGGGTGAAACTCACAGTTTCCAACTACAACTATGACAGAAACTACTCAAACTGGAACATCCTAGTCCAGCATCCAGGCTTCAACCAACCAACAGAAGCATTTAGTTTCAATAGCTCACAACTTCCATCCTTCAGATTTGGAGGTACAATTACACTACACAGTTCTTCAGAACAACGACGTTATTAAACCCGGTCGAAACGGCTATACTCGAACAAAGTTTCGAGTAAAATGATGTGGGTTTTATTGTGTGTTTGCAGATGAGTTGGGTCTGTTTTGGGGCATAGAGTACTACAACACAGAGCTTGTACAATCCAGTGAAGGCAATTTGGGGTATGTGACAACAGAGATTCTTCTTAAGAAAGATTTAGAATCATTCACATTAAGAAATGGTTGGGCCCTTCCAAGAAGAGTTTATTTCAATGGAGATACCTGTGAGATGCCTCTACCTGACACCTTCCCAATGCTTCCAAATGGGATTTCCAAGCATAGCTTCTCACTTTCCCTCTTCATTCTCCTCTTTTTGAACCATTTGTTTTGGTGAAAACTTGAAGTGTAGTTTGGCAACTTGGCCTGTTGAAAAGTTTTTGAAATCTGTTTTTTATGGACCTAGTAAGAAACACGTACGGTGCACGTAGAATCTTGTAGTTCTAAATTAAAGTAAAACAAAGTGTTTTTTAAGTTTATAATATTATCATTTTAAAGAAAGAAAGTGATTATATATAAATATAAATTCAAGGTATGATATTGTTGTAATAAAAGAAGATGATGAAATATTAGCATGGAAAGTAAGTACAAATTTGAAGCGTAAGAAATATGAAAAAGCACCGACGTGCAAGTTTTTTTTTTTTTTAATGAATGAACGTTCTTAATTTACCTCTAATTTTCTTGATTATAAATTATTATATTACATTTTATCTTTGTTAAATTGTGTGACGTTAAATCATTGAGTTTGTTCATTCTAGAATGAAAAGAAAAGTAAGAGTGAGAGAAAGAATAAACCCTAAAAGGTCCAACTTGATGATATTGAGAGGGATAAAAATTGTTTGTTTGCCCTAATTTTGTAAAAATAATTACAACATTTCACATATATGAATCAAAAGCATCACTTTAAAAAATAAATAAATAAAAATCAAACTCATAAGCATTCTTATTATCCAAATTATGAGAATAATCGAATTTTGCTTTATTTCGATTCCATCGACCACCATCTTGACACATCGTACTCTAGAATTTCTTTCAATCTGAACAATGATAAATTTGGGAAAGTGAACCGATGCCATCAACTCAGCTCTAATTTGGTTTCTCTTCACTATCAATTCTCCTCTCGATCACCCATATGTGCATTGTTGTTGTCGTTGCTAAAGCAAGAGAGTAATCTTCATACTTTCACACCACTTGGAAAATTTTCCACTTTGTTTCATCCACCACCTCTTGATTTTTGGTTGGCATGAGAAAGAGATGACACATATTTATATATGGATTGGAAGGGGATTAGGAATATGAAAGGATTAGGAGAGGGTATGTGATAATTGGAAGGGGGTTAGGAAGATGAAAGGATTGGGGGAGGGTACGTGGTAGATGAGAGGAGTTAAAAAAAATCAATGAGAAAGATAAAATTAATGAAAGAATAATTAACAGAGAGAAGATTAGTAAGAGAAAATAGGGGAATTTAGAGGGGTGATATCGTGAGAGAAGAGATAAATTTAGAGAGAGAAAGTTTGTATTTAAATGACACAATCGCCATCAAAAGAAAAGTTAAGAGAGTTATATAGAAGTTTCTCCTCATCCCACCTTTTATATATACTATAGATTATATGATCGGATGACTTGTAAATGTTAAAAGTTATTTAACCAAATAGACTCGCAATTGTATTCACATGTCAATAAGCATGTATAACTCATAAAACCGAACTTTCGTTGAGAAAAATGAAACAAAAAACATAGGGCGTTCAAAGAAACGGTCTTTGCCAAACTAAAAGAATGAGCTTCATCCAAGTGAAATCAAACCTAACCAATAATAATAAAAGACTTCAGACACTGAGGCCCAAAAAGAAACGCCGAAAGGGAACATAAGCTCAAACATCCTCCTCGAGCTCTCAACCTCTCTAAAAAGCATGTTTTTTCTTTCCGTCCATAAACCCCATATGAATATAGTTTCTAAATTTCATTTTTGAGAAATGTGATCGGATGACTAGTAAATGTTCAAGTTATGGTATAAATTGTTGCAAAAAACAAGTCATTCGTGGAAAATTAAGAAAAATATGACAAGATAACTTTAAAATAAAATATTATATTAAATTTTCGTTTACATGTTGACATTTATATGGACATAATATAAAATCATTGACATTAAATTCCCATTCGAGGGAGACAAATATAAAAATATCAATAAAATATTTAAAATTAATAAAGATTAACTTATTTAAAAGCAGTGAAAAATCAGTGAAATGCAATTTTATAATTTTTCAGAACTTGATATTTCATAAATATTCCTAGAAAATTAATACATCGACATTGTTATTATATTTAAAACTTTGAATACAAATAATCAAATATGTCATTTTTAAATACATTTTAATAATCGTATTTACACGGTAACTTAAATATAGTTTAAGTGGTCTTGACCTTTTTTTTTCTCTTTTATGACTTAATTTTTGAATTTTCACTTTTATTTTTTTCTTGTTGCAATGTAATATTTTATTTAGAAAAAATAGGAAAGTGATTTTATTTTAATCTCTAAATTAAAAATCATAGGTGAAAGGGTATATTGGTAAATTTCTGAAGCCGATGTGATGATAGTGTTTTTTTTATTTGAGCACGCAATCTGCGGGCACTCGCGGTCATTCTTGAATTTTGAAACATCGTTGACTTTTTGACTTTTTGACTCTTGTCTATTTTAAGTTTTTAACCCAATAATATCAAATCTTATAGAATTATATATCTTACGAATACCATGTCACATTGCATTATAATATTTATAGACTAAAATGATAAATAATTTCAAAGAAAATATTAAAAATAATTTTAAAAGTTCAATTTGGCTCGTGGATCGGGATTCTATGACTTAAATTTATATTTGTCGGATGAAATTTGTTGATGCATGAATTCTGTTTCAATCTCCGACGTCGATAGTTTCGACGAACACCTGCACATAAAGGAATCTATACAGTAGTGTGGTGCTAAGTCCAACACACTCCAATGCCTAAATCAACAAATAATTTGTTGAGAGAAGCAAAAAGTCGAGTCATGGGAGCATATCTCACACTTAGATCTCTCCTCTTATTTACAGAGGAAGTTTCCTTAGGTTGATTTAGGAGGACTAGCTTGACGAGGTTTGGGTCGGTTCGAGTTTGGCTTGAGATGGTTCGACCTAGTTGGTTTGACCTAGGTAGCTCGACATGGAAGTTTGATAAGGTAATTTCACACCTAACAAATTTTTTAATAAAAATATACGTTTGTTTATTTATATTTAGTTTTTTAGTTTCAAAAGGTATGATTTATCTCTTAAATTTTACCAAATAAGTTTCAGTTAGTTATATTGTCATTACTTTTTCAATAACTATAATAAATGGATTGTTTGACATGTCTTTTAAATGGTTTAAGAAAGACTAGAAAATGTTGTTCCTAAGAATAATGCGTTTAACCAACTAAAATCACTTTTGAAAAAATTTCAAAAATATTAGTTTGAAAAATTCTAAAAATATATAAAAATGAATTCTTCGAGTTTCAATTTGTACAAAGATTGCCCCTCACCTATGTGTCCGACTTCAATTTGGACAATTACAAGAAATTTAAGAAAAGTCTCCTATAAATGACTTATAGAATCCGACTTGACACCAACTTGAGAACGCAAATGTCTAGCCTAAAATCCACTAATTGACAAGTACGAAACGTCAAATGGTAGAACAACGCTTCTCAAACTAGAAGTTCAACACCAGCTCGAACTAAGTATTAACTTAAGTTTTTGAGTGTACATGAACGAGTACAACACTAATAGGGATGGCAAAAAAAACCTACGGAACCTGACCCGATCGGGTCTGGGAATCCTCCGTTTGACCGAGTACGGGGTCAAACCGAGGATCCTAATCGGGGTCCCTGGTGGGGACGGGGCAGGGGCAGGGATAGGGATGGGGGGAGGATTCCCTGCTCCGTCCCGCCCCGTTTAATATTTTATTTTATTTTTGTCTTTTTTATATAATATATTAATATATATAAATTTTATAAATATTTTTTAAACTTTAAAAAAAATAATAAAAAATATATTAGCCATTTTTTCTTGACTTCTTATACTAGTAATAAAAAATAAATGAAATTTGAAAAAAAATAAAAAATATATTTTAACGGGGATGGGGATGGCCCCACAGTCCCGTCCCGTCTCATTGCCATCTCTATACACTGATGCAACATTTTGTTTGTAAGTCGCCAGTTGATTGATCTAAGAGCCCACCTTAACTCAAATACGAATCAAATATCTCGTCAAGAATCCTATATCAACGAGTATAACCCTAGCTCAATCTCTGACCCAATAAGAAAGAAAAACATTTATTTTCATAGAATGACGTTGAACAGAAAATAATTATGTGCGGACAATGAAAATGGTACACCAAAATTGAATTGAACTCTACAAATCGGTGGGTCCCACTTTTAATGTCAAGACAAAGGGTAATATGTCAATTGCCGTCCACGACTACGGGTCTCCGCGAGCCTATAAATATTTCTAGGAAAAAAATATATACCGAGCCTATAAATATTTCTAGTTATGTACATTTTAATTTGAATGTAACAACATTAATGATTTATATTTCTATTAAAATATAACATAAGTTGGGGATTTCAAACATTTGACACAAAAAAAAAAGTTATAAATATCTTAACCATTACACCAAATTCAAATTCACATAATAGGTATTATTTGATTTGTCTTAAAATAATATTTTCAACTCCATTTTCGTTCTAATTTACCGCACCATCAAATTAATGGCTAAATTAAATTTGTACAAAAAGTTTGAAACCCAAATAAATATTAAAATAGAGTACATATAAAATTCGAGTAAGGACAAGGTTTTTTGGGTCGAATATAAAATTTCAACCATAACATATACAAACGTAATATGTTTCTCAATCAAATAAGTAAATAACTATCTTAAAATACCTATAAATAATTAAATCTACCATAATCCATCAGTCTCTTGACTAGAGGTATGTACTAATTACCACTGAACTATGCTCACTTTGACTTATAAATAATTAAACTTAACCTCACATATCAGCTTAAACATTTGTATTGATTAATAACTTAACTAACTAAAGTAGAAATTTAGAATGTGTATTTTTTCGTAGGTATTTTACTTTCGATAAGTTTGCTACTTACCTCAACAAAATATCTTAAATCAGGCAATTTAGTATAGTCAAAAAGTGGATAAGATTTCAATTTTTTAAACCTAACATGTCTAACTCATTCAAGTAAACTTAGCAAATAAAGTATGATATTGAAAATTTTAAACGAAATCAAAAAAAAAAAAAAACAAAACAAAAATGTGCCAAGATAAAATTACATATTTAAGATTTTTTTTCTTTTCTTTTTTTGGTCCTTTAAAACAACCAATTGAAATTCCAATAGAAAAAATGGTACTTTGCCTTTGAAACAGCCGCCGTTGGGGCTGTTTTTGTAGAGACTCTGTGCCACGTTCTCTACCATTGAGTCGCACGAAAGTCCCCCGATTTTCCTTTAAATTGGTGCAAAAATCTCGCTCTCTTATTGCTATTGGATCGCCATGGCTCTTCCGAACGAGATTTCGGGCTCTGCAGACGAATCCATGGATTCTCAGTCTCACAACAAGCGCCCAATTTCGTCTATTCTCATCGTAATTGGTAACCCATCTTCTTATTTGGCCGTCTTCTTCTCTCTACTTGTGATTTTCTTTCTTAGTTTGTGATTTCGACTGTTGGGTTGTAATTTAATTTGGCGATTTCAGCTATGCAGACCGAAGCGCTTCCTCTAGTGGATAAGTTTCAACTAACGGAAGATCTCAACTCTGTGTGAGTTTTTTTTTTCGTTCTTGTATTGCTTTTTACACTTCATTTTGGAGGGATGTTGATTTTGATTCTTTTTTTCTTTTTGTTTTGACTATTGCCTTACGTGGTCTTGCATTTTTCTTTACTGCAACTGTTCAACATTTTTCTTGCTTGTTGGTGTGGACTTTTTTAGATGAAATGCTTGATTGTGCAGGTTTCCTAAGGAGGTTCCGTGGGTTCGTTATCATGGGACTTACAAGGATCTTCAAATTAATTTAATTTGGCCTGGAAAGGATTTGGCCTTGGGTATGGATAATTTATCATTGGTTACCCTGTTTTCTTTGATTCAAGTTCTTTCAGTGTGATCTCCATGGATTATTAATGTTAACGATGTATAAACCATTACAAAAACTGACCCTTAGCAGCCCTGTTGGTCCTGTTCAAGCTATGCTATTTTCTCTAGCACCAACATTTTTGTAGTCACCTAATGATTTACTCCCTGATTATTTCACTGTTAATCCATGAGAAAACTGAGTCTAGCCTATTGTGCCTATGCTCTGCATGTCTTATTTTTACAGTTCAACTAGCTTTCATTTTGTTTCCTTTTAATCAATTTCTCATAAACCAAACAAAGCCTCTCAATAGCACACGATCTAGTTTAGATTTACTTGCTGTGGCTGTAAGTGATGTGTTTATCATGTTTTTGCCTATGAAGTATAGATACCGAGTTTAACTCTGATAATGTGTTTGTGTCCTTAACACTTTCATTACTTGTTGGACACTTGAACTATAGCTATGGTACTAGAGCATTGATTTTTTTTTTTTTAAATGACACTGTAACATGGACATAATGTGAAAAGTTTGGGAAAAGTGATGAATTTTGAATGAAACTCATCAAACTTTTTGATTTTTGATTATCTATCTTTAACAAGATTTGGAGTCTTGACATGGTTCTGCATGTTGTTAGACATCTCTTCATTGTAATTTTTCAGATTTTCCTTTAAATTGGTAGACACAGATTTTGTCTTGTGTCTGGTATTTCTTTGTTTTGTTCACAGAAGTTACAATGTAAGTTATCTGTTTCTCAATTCCTCCAACTACCTCTCAGGAGTTGATAGTGTGGGAACAATATCGGCATCTCTCGTAACCTATGCTTCTATCCAAGCATTGAAGCCAGACCTCATCATTAATGCAGGCACTGCTGGTGGTTTTAAGGTATGTATATGTCTTGGAAAGTAAGATATTTATTGGTATCATTGTTATAGTTATAACCGTTTTGCTTCATCATGCATGTACTGTTGCCTTGCAACACTCAAATTTGTTTTCTGTAACCTTAGTTAAAAGTCAAAAAAGAGGATCAAACTAGTGGTTTCCTTCATGGACATGTAAATCCTTTTCTTTTGGGGTTTTCATTGACTATCCTTTTGTTTTCCTTCCTTCCCCCATTGAACACTACTTTTGACATTCAGCCTCAGTCCTAGTGATGTCCTCTCTTGTATATGCTTTTCAAATTCAAGTAGCGGTTGTGTTCCTCTATACATCAAATCTTGTTAAAGTTTAAGGACTAAATAGATACAACCACCAAACTAAATTTGTAATTTAACCTACTAATAGTTGTGAAGGATTAAGGATATTTTTATTTGTGTTTGACTGATGGCTGGGTTGCATGCTACCAGGCGAAAGGAGCTAGCATCGGTGACGTGTTTCTGGTATCCGAGTGCGCTTTCCATGACAGACGTATTCCTATTCCAGTAAGTATTATTTTTCCAGAGTCGAAGGGGCAAAATCTACACTTCAGTTGTCAATTATCTTCAAACTTTAACGGATTGATCATGTTTTCTCATATTCTGAAATCGAGTTTATATGTACAAGTTGAGAACTTTGTGCTCTGTCTACCATGTCAACATGTGTGATAATCTGATGAATTTGTTCGTGGTAGATGGAGAAGCACATCTTCTCCTAAGTGATGTTGATTTTCTTACTCATCAGTTCTGTCTTACAGAACTCTGTCATTAAAATCCTTTTCTGCACCAATTTCTGTATCCCTACAGGTTTTTGATTTATATGGAGTCGGATTGAAGCAAGCACTGTCTACACCCAATCTCCTTAAGGAACTCAATCTAAAGGTGACTTTCCTTAACTACAAATTAATTAGAGTTAATGTCATGGAATATTTATTTTCTCAAAGTTTGATCATCTACAGCATTGGTTTATTTTGGCATTGTGATGTTTTGAAGTAGACAAGTTGACTTCTGATATTTTGCCTGGAAAGTATTTCGAGTTTTCATTTCAAATAGCTTTCGTTTCGATGCTGAACTGCAAAATAATTCACCCATAAGGATCATTGCATGAAGATAGATGTAAGGCAGGCACCGTGACTCGATATATCTCACATCGCTCCCTCTACCTCATTTTCGTCCCATTTTCCCTAATTTTAATTTGAATCTTTGTGTAGAAACCTTCGTGCTGTATTAGAGTTTTAGATCATTTTGGAATGTACTAATCTTGTTTGTGTAATAAGCCTTAAGTTTTCCTTGTTATTCTGCATTCTATTGCTGTACTCTGAAAAAATTTGCTCAACTTCTTCCATCAACTTCTATTGTGTAATTTTTCAAGTTTTATATGTGAAGACTTCTATAGTTATATATTTTCGATCACCTAATGTATCTAGTATTGTTTCTTCCATCAGGTCGGTAAATTATCGACTGGAGACTCACTAGACATGTCCGCTCAGGATGAAGCATCGATTACAGCTAATGATGCCACGGTCAAAGATATGGAGGTAAAAGTTAAAATGTTGATCAGTAATCTGGTGTTTGCAAACATCAGGTCTCTAACTTTTTAAAGTTTGAATTTCAGGGAGCAGCAGTTGCCTATGTGGCAGATCTATTCAAAGTTCCTGCAATATTTGTAAAAGCTGTAACCGATGTCGTCGATGGTGATAAACCAACTGCAGAGGAATTCTTGCAGAATTTGGCTACGGTTTCTGCGGCGCTGGACCGAGCAGTTACGCAAGTTATAAATTTCATCAGTGGAAAGTGCATTGCTGAACTTTGATGCTTCCTACCCACATTTTTTTCCATACAATACAAGATATTGATTGGACAATATGTGATGTACAAGAGTCAAATAACACACTGAGGATGTATACATTTGGAAATCAGATCATGTACTCTCTATTTTGTTGTATGGTAAATGTCTTTCGGCCAGCCCGAGCAAGCGAACCGAAATAGCATTTGATATTTGCCTCTATATAGAGCTCTTTTCCACTGGATATTTTGCAATGTGACTGATGAATTTAAGAACATGTTAATTCAACTAGTCAACTGGACTGCAAATTCACCAAATGAACACTTAACCAAATCTCTACCTTATTACCACACACAGCCTACATGAACGTCCTGTTTCTCAACTAATTAACATTCTAAAACCTTCACTTACTTTCAAATCACATGCCTTCCATTATAGAGTTTGAGCATTCAAACTTTCTTTCTAGGTGATGAACAGGTAGTACAACTTTATATATAGCTTTGTTGTCCTTACAAATTGCAGAGTAAGAACCGTTTGATTCCAAAGTTTCTTTGGAGAGCTGAAAATGAAAGAGATGGAAAACAGAAATGGGGCAATGGGAGCTTCCAAGGGAAAGGCCAGCCCTGGTAGAGCTACAATTCTGGCTCTTGGAAAGGCCTTCCCTCCCCAGCTTGTCCTCCAAGACTACCTGGTTGATGGGTATTTCAAGGACACAAGCTGTGATGATTTAGACCTCAAGCACAAGCTCACTCGACTCTGTAATTTTAAACTTTCTGTTCTACTCTCTCTGTTTGTGTGCGTGTTGGTTTCCCCTAATAATCGTTGAATGTAGATTTGAAATTTATAAGTTCACTAATAAGTAATAATTATCCCGTGGACACATGAGCAATCCAACCCGTAGGATTTCCTTTTCCTCTTCCCATTCTGACTTCTGTAGGTTTCCCGGTAATAGGGAGATCCGCGAGAACTCTTACCCATATTTTACCATTTCTTCGGAATTGTCCGATTATAGCCCGACGCGCTGCTTCAATGGCTCGATATGAAAGACGACCAGCTCTACAACTTTTAGTGTCATATCTTCCAAAACCAAGTTGTGTACCGTCTGGTTTGCAACCCCTACTACATTTGCCTTTACAATATTTACTATATTTCGTACGTTTCAGATATAACACGTCCTTTTTTTTTTATATGAAATCCACACTTTGACACCTGAGATTCCATAACGAGTAGATACTTCCGCAGGAGCATAATCGATTTTCTGGTTAAATACATTACTATAAGTTATAGGATTCAGAATACCACATTATGGGGCCTCCCATAATTTCTCGGTATGGGGAGTTCTTAATTTTGAAATCAAAATAACGTTTCAAATGTCAATGATCTGAAAAAATTTGCCAATACTTGACTGAATATTCGATTTGGATAAAACCTTTTAACTCCTAAGAAGATGATTTTTAAAGAATTTTACAGGTACACTTTATCATTCTCTAGATGCCCTTCTCCTCCATCTGAGTTTTAGTTTGCATACCTGAGATTTAAATAATAAGAGAACCACTTTGTGATGGTGACCTTTAGAGGGAGCAGATATATCTGCCTGCACTTGTAAAAACTTCCTCCTCTTAACTGAATTAACTGTCATTCCTCTGATGGCAATCCACAGGCAAGACAACAACAGTCAAAACCAGATACGTGGTGATGTCAGAAGAGATCCTGAAGAAGTACCCAGATCTAGCAATGGAAGGTCGAGCAACCATAAAGCAGAGACTGGAGATCTGCAACAAAGCTGTGACAGACATGGCCATTGAAGCCTCACAGGCTGCCATTAAGAACTGGGGAAGGTCTGTTTCAGACATTACCCACTTAGTCTATGTCTCATCCAGTGAAGCTCGCCTACCCGGTGGAGATCTCTTCCTAGCAAGGGGCCTTGGGCTCGCCCCTCACACCCAACGCCTCATGCTTTACTTCATGGGTTGCTCAGGAGGCGTGGCAGGCCTTCGAGTCGCCAAGGATTTGGCTGAAAACAACCCTGGAAGCCGAGTTCTACTTGTCACCTCCGAAACAACCATCATCGGGTAACACTTTGACACTCCCAAAAAGCTATTGAATCTTCTATTATCATACCACATTATATAACAGTTGTTCTCAAGATTTAAACACAAATATCAACTTCTTAACAGCTACAAGCCACCGAGCGCCAATCGTCCATACGATCTGGTAGGTGTGGCGCTATTCGGGGACGGGGCTGGAGCAATGATAATAGGCGCTGACCCTGTTCTGGGCAGTGAACGGCCACTCTTTGAACTCCACAGGGCAACCCAGAAATTCATTCCCAACACACAGAACATAATCGATGGGCGACTATCAGAGGAGGGTATTAGCTTCACAATAGCAAGAGAACTTCCCCAGATCATCGAAGATAACATCGAGAGTTTCTGTGAGGCATTTCTTCAAACAGTTGGGCTGCACGAGAAAGAATACAACAAAATGTTCTGGGCAGTGCATCCAGGCGGGCCAGCGATACTGAATAGGTTGGAGAAGAGACTCGAACTGTTACCCGAGAAGCTGACGGCGAGCCGGCGAGCTCTGATGGACTATGGAAATGCGAGTAGCAACACGATCGTGTACGTGCTGGAATACATGGTGGAAGAGAGCTTGAAGACGAAGATGGGTGGGCGGGAAAATGAGGAATGGGGACTGATTCTGGCATTTGGACCTGGGATTTCGTTTGAAGGGATTTTGGCGAGGAATCTGGCCGTCTGAGAGCATATTTTCTCGTCTCGATTATCAGTCTGAAACTTCGATTTCTGTTTATGTTTGCTGCTTACAAGAAAGCTTAATGGAGGGATTGTTTTGCGTTATATGTTGCAGTGATTTTGTTCTTGCAATCCCAGAAAGAAATGGGTAATGGGATTTGTTTGTTTCTTCGATCTCTTTCTTCATTGCATCAAACCCTGTGCTCCGCCAAAACTTTGGAATGTTCATCCATGTTCAATATTTTTAAAACTTATGAACCTAAGAACTTTAGATAAATTATTTTAGCTAATTATCAAATATTTTATTCTTTCTTAATCTTAAATATATATTTTTTCAGTATTTACATTCAGATAAAAAAATAACCTTAAATTATTTTAGCTAATTATCAAATATTTTATTCTTTCTGAAAAAAGAAATATATATTTTTTCAGTATTTAGATTCAGATAAAAAAATTTCAATATGAAAACATAGAAACTGTAAGTTTAAATCTCCACTATTTGTTAAAAAAAATAATAAAAAAAAATCCAACTCATTCTATAGAATTCCCTATGCTTTTAACAAATAATTTATTAACTATTTCACTTTACCTGTTTTATTTTTTAAAAATGAATTTATTTATTTTTTACATAATTTTCTTATTTCCCGTTCTTTAAAATTGTAAATTAAAAAAATATAAATTTATATAAATTTTATTTTTTAAATTAAATGTTCAACATTTTTATATTAAATTTGTTTTTTTAATATTTATTATACATTTTGTAATTCAAAAAAATAAAATAATACTTTTATTTATATTTAAAAAAGAATCGAGTACTGGTAACAAAAGAAAAACTTGATTTTGTTATTCACACAATTTTAGAAACGTTCATACAGAAGAGAAAGAAACAAAAACACTGCCAAACAAACGTGTCCTTAGATTTCTGTATTAGCGATAATGTTCAACTAAGCACTAATTAACAAAGTAGAAGAGGAAGAAAGTAGAATCATCACAAGCTTCAAAAAGAAGCACTAACAAGTCCATGAATGTGACCTTTTCATTACAGGCTTCATCTGCTTGTCTTCCTCCAGGGACACCATCCCTGAATGAGAAGGGTCTTCCAGCATCATCTTTGCCACCAAGTAACCTGCAATCGACCACGTTTGCAGCTTCCGTGCCTGTTTTCCGACAAATCGCCCCAGCTTCCCATCGTAGTATTCCGGCCAGTTGTCTTTCAGCAGCCTCATTTCAGCCAGTTCCAGTGCGCGTCTCGCAATTTGGGGTCGACCGGTCTTGATACATGCAGCTGTTAGAAGCCATAGAAGAACTGCAAGCAAAGCATTATTATCAACATGTTAGGATCCCAAACAACATTGAAACTATAATGTAATGCTAGAAAGAGACTACGAACTACTGACATAGTCAGCATGAGTATAGCTCAGCGGTTAAGACATTTTGCTCCTTCCTTAGAGGTCGGAGGCTCAATCCCCATCCTCACATTTGTTGTATTAAAAAAACGAACTCCTAACTAATTACTACTACGCCACTACTAGGATCCTAGTAACATTCTCAATATATTCCCATTAATACTCTATTCTATCACGGCGGTGCCAATATCTGATCTAGCTTCAAAGGTCAGAGGACTCGGAGTTATAGCAATGATCTGAAAACTTCTGTAGATTCTACACGTCATAAGGACGAAGTCTCATAAACAAGTATATAAATTCGCATACTTGAAGTTGAGTTTCAAATGTGAACTAAGAAACCAATACTCTACCTGGCCAAGAACCACCATTGTGGTAACTCCATCTTGTATTTTTCGGATCACATCCAGTTATGATTCGCCACTCGTGGCTTTCAATGGCAGGGTAACAAACCTTCAACGGCATTTCTCCGACTAGTTCTTCCCACCGTGATTCTATAAGATCCATAATAGCAGTGGACTGTTCTGGTGTTGCCAAGGAGGAAAGAATTGCAATGCAGTTGCCTAAGCAAAACCAACGGAAGTCCATTCTTGCAGGACTGACATTTCCAATAAAGTAACCACCACGAGTTGGCATAAAGTCGAAAACCCATTCGGGAAGGGAATCGGGTATAACGTTGAACTTGTTCACAGCAGTATGAGAATATTCTTCAGTTTTATATCGGTATACATCATTCAGTTGCTTTAGGTCCAGCCAAAAGTAACTTCTCATGTGATAGCTCAAGGCGTGAAGCCGTTTTGTGATTCTTTCTACAAAGTCCTTCCCTTCATGGTCTTGCTTAAGCAAAAGCAAAGCACACCTTAAAGCCATAAAGAAAAGAGCTTGAATTTCAATTGGGTAGCCATACACACCCTGAAACCAATGATAAAACCAGTAAGAAATAAGAAATGAATGAATAATAATCATGATTACAAGACTGCATAATGCATACAGTCCCTTTAGTTTGCATTGGCAGGATATTCATAGTAAAAAAATACAAGGTACTGTTAACATTGTCTTTAACGAAGCCTATAGTCTGCCAAAAATAAGAAGTACATCATAATGAATTCAGCCAAACAATGTAGATAAATAATTTTTAAATTTGAATCCCATCGTGGTCCCTGAACTTCTAAGATTTTTTTCCATTATAGTACCTCAACTTTCACAATGTCTATTTTGATTTTGATGCTTTTAAGTTTATTCCATTTTGATCCCTAAAATTTCAAAATATCTAATCGAGTACCTAACTTTTAAAAAATAATCATTATGGTCCTCACATTTATTTTAATTTTAACAAATGGATCTCATAACTTTGAATATGTGTAATAAAGTGCTAACTCTGTATATATATTGAAGTCACCTAAGTTGGTAGAGACAAGTATTGGGTAAGATTGAGTGGCAAAAATAATAGCAAGAACTTAAAGGGTCGTTCTTTTTTTAAAGTTCAAGGTCTAAAATATACATCGGAAGTTGTGAATATTAATTTTTTTTTCCACCACTATAGCTATTCTTCCCTCTTGACAAATTGGAAGAGTCTTATGTAACCCTTCTTGGGCTTTTGTAATTTCATACATCAATGAAATTGTTGCTTACACAAAAAAAAAAATATACATCGGTAGTTCAGGGACTAAAATAGTTGTTTTTAAAATTTAGAGATTAAATAGACATTTTGAAAGCTCAAGAGCTAAAATGGGGCAAACTTGAAAGTTCAAAGATCAAAATAAGGTTTTTTCTTCTTTGAGAATATCATATTATAAATGTAGGGATGAGGGTTTGAATCCACCTCCTAGGAAAAGCAAAAATGTCTTAACCGCTCAGCTATATGGGATTTAAATTTTAAACCATAATTCTAACAATTGGGATCATTCCACAAACAGATTGCAATATTTCAAAGTGTCTCCCCAGTGAACTTCAGAAGTCAGGCTCGAATTGCTAGTTTCATTGTTATATCTTAAAAGAATAAGGTTGAAAGAAACGCACCATTCGTCTATCAATCATGCAGCATCCATCGGCACAGAGAAGTGTAGGGAATGTGTCGAATCCTTCCGAAAGACAGAGACTCAAAATAAGGCGCATTCCCTTCTGACATTCTGGTAGTTCAGCCAAGGACGAGTCACCAGTGGACTTTGTGTATGCTCTAAGCAATATAATCCACCAAAATCCAGAGTCAACTGGAGCAACTCTTCCTATTGCACTCTCTCCAAAATCTGCTATTAAAGTTTCACTGTTCCTCACTGGATCATGAAGCACCTTGAAGCTAGCAGGCATCACCCCTTCTCCAAGCTGGAATCTGTCAATCTTCTTCTCCCATGATTGAAGCCGAAGTGTCTTTAAGATAAAGTTCTTTACTATTTCAGGCTCCCCATTCATCAGAAAAGCAAAGGCACTTGGAACAAAGTCTCTCACAAACACCTACACAAGGAAATAAAGTATTTGTATGTCGCCTTTCAACCTTCTTGTAAGAGATAAAAGAAGGTAAGGGGGATCCATGAAAAACTAAACAATTATCAACAAATCTTAAGACACAGACACGGTGACACGTTAGTTTGTTTATTCTATTTAACAATTATTCCACACATGCACAACGAGTCTCGGACTTGAATTCAATTTGTTCAACCAGATTGCGAATGTCTAACAAATGTCGGGAGTGTCGAATACAAATAATTTGTCCAAACTAAAGTGTTCATAGGTCCATGTCGTTGCTATAATTTATAGTTGCTTCTTTTTAAAAATGCACAAGTGGTTGTGAGTTCCAACGTTTTAACAGATAAAATATTTTCTGAACCATTGTACAAACTGATTTTCTACCAATTTATGCAATAGGGTAGAAGCAAGAACAGAGACTTCCCCCTACATTATAAACGCAGCCAAAGAAGGATTGAGCAATGAATTGAAGTAATCATTGAAGAAGTGTTCTTACTTGATCATAGTTAAGATTCTCTTCAGTACTGTCCAATGCAGCAATAGTGCCGACTGGTTGGCCACGGAAATGGACCAACGAACGCCTCAAAGCATCCCAAGCTTCAGCCACCATGGGATGCTGCTCGAATCCATTCTGTGATCTCGGAGTATTGAAATCCGATTTTCTGCCAGGAGATGGAGTTTGATCACTAATTTCCATCATTCGAGCGAAGTTCTCCGAAGAAATTTTCGACGATAGCCGCGGGGAGAAACCAATCGCCAATTCCCCAAGCGATCTTTCATCAAACGACCTCTGTCTCTCCATGTTCAGCGCCCTCGGCCTATTCAATAACTTCGAAAACTCAGTTTCTTCAATCTCATTCACTGTCAATAAGCCATCGTTGCTTCTCGCATTCCCGCTCTGAGCCGTGTTCGATGAGGAGGAAGCGGACATTTCTTCAGAACCTAAAACTCTCCTGCAAAATTTTCATTCCTCGTTTCATTAAACCACAGTTTAACAAACCCCTAATCATAAGATTACAAACAGAGCATCAACATCAAAACCCAAGAGAAAAACAACCAAATGCAAACAGATTAAGAACGAATTTCTCAACCACCTTCAGAGATTAAAGAAACGCAAGCTCCATGCAAGACTGGAAAACACAGAAAAATCAGGCGGGCCAGAAGCAGGCCCGTCGTCGACCGCCGCAACGGCGCATTGGGGTGTAATTAAGAAGCTACCCACATGGGAATGGGAACAGAAATTCCAAAAACAAGCGCAGGTGAATCATGGAGAAGGAAGAAGAGAGATACCCAGATGGTGAAACGCCATCAGGGGTTGCGACGGCCGGCAATGGCGGCGGAAACGGCGACCCAGAAGGCGGAAAATACAGAGAAGGGTCGAGAGTGAAGTGCAACAAAAATGGAGGAGTTGGTTTTGGAGGGGCAGAGGAAAAGGGGGCGTTTGTTACTTGTTAGGTAGAGCACGTGTACGGTTGAAAGATCCAAAACGTAATTTCTTTTACGGTTTCAGAAGATTTGTTGGGTTTTTCATTTGTTCTTCCATTTGGACCTCTGGTTTTGAGTTCAGAGTTACAGACAGGAAGAAGGTGGAAAGTGAAAAGGGAATAATGGCGAACCATTGGACTCTGAGTTTGTGACCGTCCATTTTGTTGGAATTGCACCGCTATCACCTCTATTAAATGCTGATTATGTTGCATGTTTATCAACCATTACAGGGGAGAGACATTCGTCAATCTTCTTAGGTCTGGATTTACTTCGATAAGTTATAAGATATTGGTACATGCTCGATTGATTCATGGCCTAATACGTCACCCATTCAAATGACTTAATTTAAAAGAGATTAATGAATCAGTGTGACGGTCGTAACTTACATGATCATATTGCTTTCTCTATGTAAAAAAAAAAAGAAAAAAAGATCATATTGCTTTCTCTCCCTTGTAAGCACAAGACAACATTAGTTAGAAATTAGTTCATAAAGTTGATTGCAATTGATCAGCGACTTTAAGGATGATAATAGGTGTCTAATTTAGTACCAAACTTTTTAGTATTTTAATGTTGGGTTCAATCTATTCAATGTTTAATCATGTGTTGATATATTATAGATTGATACCAAATTGATAGGTTGAGAATTTATTAGATACCTTCTAAGTTAAAATTTTCGCTGCTCATTGGTGTATTAATTTTTCTAAAAGAAATGTATATTATTTTAGACTTTCAATAAATTCGAAACATTTATTTTTAGGGTGAGGATTCAAGTTTCTGATATTTTGATAGATAATATATTGTATTTAATTAGTTGAGCTATATTCAGATGGGTCATAAACTTTAAACATATAAACGTAATACAAAATTGATGGAAACTTAAACGAATGTCACACTATGTTGAATATGTAGTGAAATGTGTGTACTTTTTGTAATTCAATTTTGTGCAAGATTTTTTATGTGTAAAAAAAAAACTAGTGGGTAAATGTAGCCAAATTTAGAGATAATTAAGAAGTGGTAAAATCGTCTATGATTCAATCGGATGAAATTGAAAGTATTTCTTTACACGGTGTGTATTCAGTTGTTTATAAATTTTTAATTAATTTTATTAACATTTTTGCCTCTCATTGACACTCTTTAACAAAATGCTCCCATGACATGAACATGAATATGATAGATAAATAAATAGATTAATGAAATATTTTTTACAGTAGTAAAAGTCTAATATCAGTTCATGTACTTTATTTAATATTGTAAATGGTCAACATCACAAATAAATGATGTTAGCTTTTCATGAATGAGAAAGTTCACATTAATTTGATGAACGATTCATGTACGGTGGTACATGTAACACAACACCTCAACTAAAAGTAGTTTAATGAAATCGCAACGGTTGTATCAAAATTAATATTGTTAACTAATGATTAAAGTCTCAACATGAATATAGTTAGCGATAAATATATTTAAAGTTGGACTTTAAAATTTCACACGTCATATTTGTTGTACTAAAAGACATACTTTACACTGTGGTTTATTTTTTTCAAAAACATTCATTTTGATCCATGTACTTAAAAAAAATGACATGGTCTCTTCATTTTCATTTTTATTTAATATATATTTTATCATAATTTTAGTATGACATTTCACTCGTTAAATTTTTTAAAATATAGCCATAAATTTGTATAAAATCGAGTTTTTATTGCGTTCTATTTTTCGTGACAATCAAAAAACGTCACGAAATTTTTTTTGTGACGTTTTATAACTGTCACGTAAAATTTTCGTTTTTCACGATGTTTTAAAATCGTCACAAATTCCACTTTTCGTGACATTTAAAATATGTCACAAATATCTTTTATGATGGGACATAGGTGACGACGTAAAAATCGAATTTTACCAACGGAAAAGATAATTGAAAGTATAAACTAAAATTAACACAGGCCAACTCTTCGAATAATAATAATAATAACCAAATTCAATGACTACGCCACCGGTAAAAAAAGATTAAAATTTAAAAGTAACATTATTCAATGGAAAAATTTATGGTTGTAATTGGGTGATATTATTTTGGAAATGATTTTTACAGCTATGGAAAGAGCCACGTAGAGAAGAAGGGACCCTTTTTTGTTTTTTTGGTTTTTTTTTTTCATTTTTACAAAATGTAATGAATTGATTTCTCTTTTCATTTATTCTATGCATAATATTTTTTCATTTGAATGTTTTATATAAAATATGTATTTTACAAAATTTAATCCTTATTTCAACAAAACAAATTTAATTAAATTTCCAGTCAAACCATCTCGAGTTGGTAAAATCTACCCCTATTTATAATTAAAATAAATAAATTAATATTATTTTTTATTGAAGTAAATATTTAGTGGGTAACTACCAATTTACAAATATATTACTAGACAATAATTTTTTAATTGAGATTTATTTATAAATCTACTGCTAGAAACATATTTGAAAAACCAATCTAGGGATTGAAACATTTTATACACCGTCCATATGGTTTTTGGTCGGTTAGTTTTACATTTTTTTATTGGATAAACTTCAAAAAGTTTATTGACCAAGACTTTTATTTTATTACAATTTTTCTTCCCCCCAAAACCCAATGAAAACTAACGTGCAATGGATTTAAAACACATAGAACCCTAAATCAAAGCGATGGCCCTATTAAATAAATCAACGGCCAAGATTGGCCCACCACCACATGGCTCCCCATGCACTTGCCCACACCTGATCCATACCCCTCCGATCTCCCGCTATAAATGCACTGAACTGAACTTCCTTCTTCCTCCATACGAAGAATTTGAAGAAGAAAAATCCCCAAATCAATGAGCCAATACAGAAGAAGCACCGCCGATTCGATCCTCGATTCGCTGTCGCTGAATCCTCTCCCGTACCCGGTGCTGCTCCTCCTCGGCGTTGTCTTTGTCTTCCTCGGCGCCTCCTGGTGGTTCTCGTACGAGTCCGCCGTCGAGGCCGCCGAGGAGCAGATCAATTGGCTGCTCTTCGCGACGCCGGTGCTGCTGATCGTCCTCGTCCGCTGCCTCTCCTCCGTCGATCCGAGCTTCTTCGCTTCCTCGCCGTGGGAGCGCCGCCGCAGCACGCACCGCCTGCCACCCGAGGGGAGCTCGCCGTGGGGCGTCGCGGCGTTGATCGTGCTGCTGCTCGTTCTCGTGCAGTTCCAGTCCGCGTTCCGTGAGAGCTGGTCCATTTGATTTGATGGAGCCTTCAAAGGCGCAGGATCATTGTAAATACAAATGGTTTACTTTACACGATCGCTCCTCTGTTGTAGTAGTGGAGATTGGAGGGAGCGTTACGTTTGATTCTATAAGGTATTTCTGTTTTTTCTTTTTTCTTTTTGTACTTTTTTTGCTTTTCGGAGGTGAAATTGGGGGAAAATAAATAAATCCATATTTATACAGTGGATGTATTTGTTAAAATTTGAAAATTTTATCAGCTAATTTTGGTTTTTTTTTTCTAGTTTTATTTTTTAATTTCCAGGTTTATGATATATATATCTTAACAAGTGTTGTTGCAGTTGAGCTGATTTTAGTTATAGTTCGAAGGGCTTCATAAATATTTTTTAGTTTTGTTTTATTTGTTATTCTCAAATTGGTGTTTAACGTATAATTATTATTTTTTAGGGGTTTTTTTTATGAATATAACATCTAATACCTTAAGCAATCCTCAAATTACCTATTCTAGGGATTTATTTGGAGTGGGTTAGGAACTTAGAATACCTAATTTATAGATTATAAAAAACAAAAAAACGTAATTTATTTTAAAAAAAAAAAGTTGAAGAAAGTCAATTGATTGAAAATGTTAAAAAGAAGAGAAAAGAAACAAAAAGAAAAGTGAATTGAATAAGTTAAAGGATCCGAAAGATTAGGAAAAAAGAAGAGAAACTTGGATCTTAAATCGCAGCCGTTGATTATAGTCGAGTAATCAAAGGTCGTAATGTTGTAACGTACAAGTTATCACCAAACTTTGAATTTCTATGTAAACGTTGAGGTCTCTCTCATTGTCATCTCCAAACCAATCAATCAATATGTATATTCAATTTAAACCACACTTTGGATTCTAAATTTTCGGACATTATTTTATTTTGGTCCCTATTTTGATGGGCGAACCACACCACGATAACTACATCAATTATGGTGGATTCACAATCTTAAGACCTCCTGATTGTGATTGAGGTGTTTTAGACAAGAAGAAACAATGTTGTTGTACGGTAGAATCTACTGTCTTAAAAGTAAAATTCGGCACGATTTTTGTGCTATCAGTTGTTCTCCAAGATTAATACAACATCCGAATTTAAGCATGAGATCGGATTTGAATCAGCTCAAACAAGTTTTTTTTTTTTTTATTCTTTTATAGTTAAAAAGTAATAAAATAGGAGGTCGGAATTTCATTTTTATTTTTTATTTTTTAGTACACAGAGATTGGGCTAAAACTTTAAATTTTTAAACTAAGATAGATTAGGAAGCAATTAAAATGGTTTATAAAATTGTCAAGAAGCTTGATCGTATTGAAATCATAAGGCAATTTGTAATGTATTACCACAAGAAAGCAATAAATACAAATTAGTTGCATAAATTACTCTTTATCCGCAATCACCCCTCTTTTTTTAATCTAAGACAAATAATAAACAAAATTATTATTTTTAAAAAAATTTCATAACTAAAATTTGAATTAAATAATAAATTCAAGATGAGATTTAAACATTTTATTTTAGCATCGATCTAATTTCTACCTAGAGTCTATTTCTTGGAACTATTAAAATCATTATTATATTGTTGATCCAGAAATTTGACCTCTTAGGATTCCGTCAAACTCACACCAATCTTCAAGAATAAAAGGGATCGACGAGACATGCAAAACAAAATAGCATTAAACACTGGTGCGGCTTTTGCCACACAAGCTTCGATGCTTAAGTCATAATCGGAGTAGTTAAGTATAAAATGTAGAGTGTTGTGGGCATACCTCCAGGATTTGTCTTACTTCCCGAGTTGAATCCTGATTATCTGAATCTGGGAGAATCAATCTAGATATCTTATGGAATTTGAATGGTAGAAAATTGGGATTTTCTCATCCATAACATGTACTAAAAGCTATATTTAAAATCCTACCTTAATATTTAATATTTTCAATCTAAAAATTAAATAGAAATCTCTATTATTGATGTATAGTGAAAGAAATTTGAGTGAGAAAAGAGGATAATCATGTGATTGATTAGAAGATTAATGGGGGACGGGAGTGGTGTCCAACATCATTATGATCCATCAATTTTATTAAATAAGCGTGATGGACCAAAGTTGAGATTTCATTATTGGGAGTGCTCATGTGAGGACAAACTTTACATATGCCATGGAATTTCTTTTCAAATATATAATATATATATATATTTCTTTTCATGTGGACATCATAGCATTTCCTCTCTCTCTCTCTCCACGTCCTTCACAAAACCATATTTTTGTTTTAATAATTTGTATTTTTGTCCGAGTGAAAGAAGTGTGTCAGAAGGAAAAATTTTGGTTAATTATTAGATGTCATGTCACAAATTTAAAATTACATTTAAGATCAATAATGGTAAAGTTATACAGTGTCCTGAACTAATTTTAAAATCGATGAATTAAATTATGTCATGGCCATCCGATATAATCAATTAATTGGATCAAAACCTATGAAGAGACTAGACCCAAGTTCATGGCCCATTAAACCCATGGCCTAATAAGACCCACCGAGACTCTATAAGAAGAGGAGGTCATCTCTTATTTGGGGAGTCGGAGAAATCCAGAAGCGTTGGAGATTTAGAGCATTCAGAATTATCTACAACCATAATTGAAGACTTGAAGACTACGAGGCTTCAAGAATTCTGAATATTCTCTTCGTCAAGCAATCGATCGAAGAACTTCACAAGCTATAAGTCGAACACCTCACGAACTGAAATACTTCATCAAGCTGCAGACTTTGTCAAATGAGTCGAAGACTTCATCAAACCACAAACTTCGCCAAGCATTAGACTTCACAGTCGAAGACTCTAAAGATTTGGCGCAAACTCATTGATTCAAGAACAAACTCACAAACTCTCGAATTAAAGTTCACATATGAGAGAATTAATCCGATGATCATACATTAAAGATTGTAACACTATATACATAAATACAATACAAGTTCATCAATTCAAGTTTTCTCTTCTTTGAATTTTTCGTCGAACAGTGTGAAAGTGGAGATTTAAACTTACGATTTTTAAGTCGATGATAGGTGTAGTTTAACTATACTCAAATAGACTAGTTTTAATAATTTGTTATTTTGTTTGTTAGGCGCCAAGTCTGAACCCAACTTAATGCATGATATATCTGTTATAATATAAAATTTTTTGATGATTTTATCTCATAGTTGTCCTTGTTGAACTTTTAAAAACAATTAAAAAATAATGGAAAAAAGGTGTTTGTTCAACAAATTTTAGTTATTCAAAATATGCTTTTGAAATCAATAAAGTAATTATTAGTTAAACCCGAATATTCGAACCTCCAACTTTTTATTGAAGATATATATTTAACCGAAAGTTTAATCATTAGTTTCCAAATTTCTAATTTTTAACAATTATTCACAATAGGATTCCTTAAATTTTGTGTTTTTAATGGAATGGCTTGAATTTAGGGAAAAAAAAAACTATACCTAGTTTTTTTCCCCTAAATTCGATTGGCACATATATTTAATTTCAACCATATTTTTCTTACTGGAATTCTATCGGATTTAACGTCATCTACAATGATATGTTTTCAACTCAAACATTTCAAAGAGACGAGGAGGACGGACCCATGATTTCATAAGGAGAGTTCAATTCAACGACTTGGAAAAGATTTTGACCGACAATAAATCTGTTGACATTTGGCAGAAGGACGATTCCAACTATTAAAAGACGAGTACAATGTTACAGTGTTGAAACTCCCGATCCTCATTTCTTATAAGATATGTAGTCCCACCCTTTTCAAATGCGTGCAAATTCTTACAACCTAATTCCAACTCTGCTTAACATCTTCTAATTTAGCGTAGTTGACGGAACACTAAATCTCTTCAAATTTCTTATGGTAGGATTGTAGCTATCATGTCAAGATGATAACAATAATAAACATTATAGACTATAGAATTGAAAACTAACTTCTTAAGCTCATGAACTACTTAGGAATATATAAATGTCACGAAGCTTCTTAATTACCATTAATTAACTATTATATAGTTGTCAAATATTTTAGTCTAACTTTAAAGAGGATCTTCGATAAATAAAACTTTGTTTGGTAATAATTTTTATTTTTTAAAATTTAAATTTTATTCCATTCCCCCGTAAGTACCTCTATATTAGAATGAGATTCGACAATATAGATTTGAGTCAATGATTGAAAAATTTTATTTTCTCGATCTTGATTTGTTTAAAAATTAAGAACTTAAATAGTTATTAATTGTTTGTTGATCATTCTTAATCTTTGATTTAAATACATACCTATGGATAAATAATGGATAAAATGTTGATGGGTATGTATCAAGAATAAAACTATTTAAGTTGTTTGTTTATCCATTATTTTTCCCCTTCATTTTAAGTACTTTGAAATCTAAATCGTAAAAATTTTAAAATATGATTTGATAAAGATTTGTTCTTTGTATAATAAAATAGCATTTTATATATAAATATCCAAAATGATAATATATTTACAATTTAAATAAGTAGAATAAAATAATATATACACTAGTTTAACAAATTATTGGTTTAAATCTTGTTTCATTCTTTAAATTTTCAATATTTTATTTTAACCAATGAAATTTACAATTAAAAAAACAAATTTAGTTCAAATTATTTGCTCACTTCCCTTGCCAATAAATATAAATTTTTACGATATTTTCACTTAGAGACAAGGTAAAATATTTCAAAATTTATAGTATAATAAAATAAGTTTAAAATTTAAAGCCTAAAACAAAATTTAAACTGTCCATGCCCTTGCAAATAGTTATCAAATGGATACATTATATTTTATCTATTTATGTATAAATGAGAGTTACGAATTTATTTTCTAAACTTTTTAAAGTTGTGTTCTAATAGGTCCGTTAATTTTAAAAAGTGTCTAACAGATATCTAAACTTTTAATTTTGTTCGATAGGCCCGTGAATTTTCAATGTAAGGTCAAGAAATGAGTAGAGATTTAAACTTGTTGATGTAGGATTATAAATGAGGTGATGTGTCAGCGTCTGAGTCGAGATGAACTATGGATCATCCAAGCTAGAGACCTACATGCAAAACTCTGCATTAGTATGGTACTCGATCACATACACTATGAAGTTTAAGTTAGTAATTAGTCCGAACTTAGTTAGGATACATTAGGTGCAAACATTGAGGAGGAATGGATCCAACTGAGAGACTTTTGGTAAGCATTATCCCACCGTTTCCAACCCTCCAAACCTAATTTTTAACAGATTTGATGCCAACAACATCCATGTGTCCAAATTGATCAAGTCAAGGTGAATATCACCTAGCATCCCATCTCAGGCTAAATCGAGGCACGAACACGTGCTTGTAATGGGTATGACCACATGCAAACTCTGATTTCACCTATAAACTATAACATAATCTACGAAGTAAAAATGTCTTAACCACTCAATTATTTTCGATTTTAACGAATTTTGTAGAATCATACTAATATAAAACTTAGTGTCAAAGTAAGTATAAAACAAATATAGTTTAGTGGTAATTAACATATATCTCCAACCGAAATCGAAAGACCGTGAGTTCAATCCCGACCCTATGAAGTAATTTCAAAAAGAAAAAAAAATACTCGATACGGAATTGAGTTCAATTGTAGAGACCAAGTTGATAATTTTACGGAAAAATAGAAATGGAGAAAAACGTGTAGGAATTGGAGACTGCAAAACGATTGGCGTCTGGTCGAACCGGGTTTCCGATTCCCAAATAAAGGTCGCTCCTTTTCCTCGATCCCCAACTTTGACCCTCCACAATCGAAGCTTGGTTTTTCTCTCTCTCTCTAATCGGAGTTTCAACTCTCAATCTACCTTCTCCGTTTGATTCGCCATGAAACCCTTCTCAGTTTTCTTCCTCGCCCTTCTCCTTCTCGCCTCTCCAGTTTTCAGAGGTTCGATCTTCCCAATCATACACGCTAGATCTACTCGAAAGTCATGATTTTTCAGATTTGAAATCTTGTTTTGCATGCATGGTTTTC